TGCAATATACGCGATCGGCGATACTGTATCGAGCTGTATTCAGAAATATTATTTTGCAGGGCACGAAATCCGTAAAAAGCACGACTGATTAAATTCATTCGCTAATACATTTACATTTGAACAGTGAACAAAAGTTTTGAAATATAACAAACATAGAGAAATGCTAAAAATACTATATGTTTCACACATCTTTTTAATTGGTTCCAAATTGAAGTTATAATTGTTTGATTCGGGAGTTTCAAATTTGACAAGAAACAAAGCTGTATATACCACTTTAATCAAAATATTTCTATCAAAATATTAGTATATTAATGGACAATGTATGTGTGTAATTTACACACACACACACACACACACATTCACACGCATTCAACATAATTCAATTTCAATTTCAAAACTAATGTGATATAAAGCGAAAATGGGATACGCGAGGTACGAAAGGCCATACATTCAATTATCCTCATTTTCTTTACGACACACTTTGCGAGCGCGAAGTAATAATGAAATTTTCAAATGCTAAAATTCGAGTTAATTTCGTCGTGATCGTCGGAGCGTCCCTTACAATCGTAAAGACAAAATGTCACCGAGCGAAATTGCGGATCGACGGAAATGAGAAATTTTCAACGTTTCAACGATCTTTGAGTTCTGATTACACGGGTGCCCGACTTTTACGTAAGAAACGGAGGTCGTATATACATCTGGCAATTTGGCGCACGTGAAAGTGGTCTGCCGAGTTGTGTTGGCGAGGAACGGTCAGTTAATTCCGAGTCTGGTTCTCTCGTAAATGTCGCGCTCTTCTGGGACACTTTTTGCGATTCATCTCTTGTGGGAATCAATCGCGACGAGCAATGAGCAAAGTCTAATAATGACAAACCGTCGTAATTATCACACGCAAGAACGAATCGTGTCAGGCTTCGAAATTGAAAGTCTGTCGATTATCGTCTCATTTTCGCGCGGCTAGTCGACGACGAGAGTCAAAAAGGCATCGTTCATTTTTTCTTTTTTTTTTCTTTCTAACGTGGAGAGGAAAAAAGGAAAGATGAATCGTGCAAGAAAGCTTCCAGTCAAGGAAAAAAAGCTTCGTCGGATTAACGCCGTTGCTTGCCAACGCGGAAATTCCGCACGTGGCATTTTAAAAGAGCACAGAGTTCCGTTTTCCAGTCATCGCTCACCTTGCAGCTGCTCAGTCGTGTCTAATCCTATGTCTCATTTCCGAGCCACCACAGCACAATTCGCCCTGGCAATCCGTAATACTTTCTCCGATAGCGGATCAAAGCGGAGAAACTTTAACGAATCGGAGAAATGAATGAATTGCGCGACGTTCCCTCGATCGAGAACGGGGTAGGATGAAACGGCACTTCTTTGAAGTCGAAATTTCAAAATGACGAAGGAGAGATTCGCGCCGAGCGAAACTCAACACGCGGCACTCCGAAAAAAAGGGGGAAAAAAAAGGGGGAAGAAATCGGAGAAAAAAACTTCGAATCGACGATTCGAGATTCGCGCGCGACGGCGGAAACGACGGATGGTCAGCTCGATCAGACGGGACGATGCACGTGACGCATCTTCGGACGCGTCGGTTTTTTCGCGCGTTCCGTTGCAACGTTCGCGACGTTCGGGGATGACAATCGGATAGAACGCTCCGAGACAAATGCAAGTCCGATCGAACGTCGGCCGTGTCAAAAATCCCGGTCGCCAGCCGGGGGGGAAAAGAAGAGGAAAAAAAGCCGCTCGACCAGGCATTTTCCCTTTCGCCCGAATGCGAGACCACCACCACGCGATCGCCATCATCCGCCACCGTCACCACCACCATCACCGTTACCGGCCGCCACCACCACGGCCACCGTTGGCTGCCTATCACCATTGCCATCGCCGTCGCCATCGCCGCCGCCGTTTTACTATCGCCAGTGTGAAAGATGTCAAATGACCAGGACGACGATCGGCGGACGATCCACCGAAAGGGAAGCGAATGCGTGGAAAGCGCGGCGATTCTTCGCGATGATCATCTCGATCGAGAAAACGCGAACCGTCGTTTTGTCGTCGTTAAACTACACTTTAATGAACCGGAACTTATTTCGTGAATATGTTTTAATATTATGCTGACATCATTCTCGTCAGATTTGTCAATCAATTTTTTTTTATTCAATATATGAATATTAATATATGACTTTTTATTATACCCAATCAATTATAATTATTATCAGTCAATCTCAACGAATGTATTTGTCAGTATTCATATATGTAACGCAAAAAAGTTTGTCTCTCCCTAAATGAATACTCGCTCACAAATAAAAGTTTTTGTGAAGCGAGATATTTTATTATATTTTACACAGAAAGGAAACCTTGAACCATTTTTCATGAGATATAAGGTATTAACTCCTGAATGCCTGGATTTATCATGGAACGATCTTGATGCAGGCATACAGTAAAAGAAAAGAGACCCGTAACCACGAATTAAAGAGAAAGGGTCTCTCAAGGAGTCACGGAATAAAATGAAATGATATGGAGAAAGGTTGATTCTTTGGAAATAAAAATTCTGCGCAAAACAATTTAAATTACTCTTTTAAATTTATTGCATGTTATTAATAACAAAATTGAACCTAAAGTGATATTAAATTAAAATTCCAAATCACTTTGTAAAAAAAATTTATTTAATAAAATAAAAATAATCAACTTAATAATTTTGGCAAAATAATAAATCATAATTATATTCGTTACTAACTATTTATGTAATAAATACAGATATATGATTCAATAGATAATAATAGATAATCATTTTGAAATCTAAGATAGAAATGATAGAAACGCTAGATATGATTCAATTAATCTCAATATCAATGTTCAACATCCTGCTTTAACTTCCAATATCGATGCAAATGCATTTATTGCTTGATTTTAGTTTGATTATTCTTGACAATACAACAAAGTAACAAAATAATAATATAAAAAATAACAAAACACTTATTTGCGTAATCATGATGAATCATAAATATAAATATTTTATTTGCAATATTAACACTATTGAATAACAAAATAAAATCGGATATTATCCTAAAAACAACCTTGTACTTTCCTTTAATAATCCAAATATAAAATTTAAAATGCGTGGAATTTAAATCAATATTAATAGATTTACAATAGAGCTACAACTCTAAACAGGTACGCTTATAAGAATTAATTAATTATATTGATCGAGATATTCGGATAGCGAGATAATGTGAAACGAGCAATGTCGAGAAGGTAAGCTACGAAATATTCATATCCATCTAGCAAAATGTAATTCCAAGGATATCCGGCAGATATATCTTCAATGATTTTGAGATCCAGATTGAATTGCATAAAATCAAAGGAAATTACAAAACATTATTCCGAATGATTAATTTATTTATTAAATATGTGCAAAAAATATAGCAAAATATCACACTTCTTTCTACTATTATTACATTTCCGAAATATCTTGTGAATTTTTTTTTATTGCAGTAACTTTTTTAACATTATTTTTGAAACACAAAATTGTCTAAAAAAAATTTCTACTCGTTAAATTTTTTTGCAAAGAAAATAAAAATAAATATAATCTTGATTGAAGGAGAAAAAAAAGAGAGGACGAAGCATAGAAAATATTATTACGTTATGAAGTTAACAAGGATGTTAATTGATTTGCGCATATCGCCACCATCAAATAAACATATGCATTTATATGTGCGTAATTAAATGCTAATGTAAAATTAAATAAATTGTACAATAAAAATAGATAAAATTAGATAAAAAACAATGTGCGCCATGTTGCACGATGTATCGCTTTCTCTTTGACATTCATGTCGAGAAGTAGATCGTTATATGGGGGTCGATAACGCATGATCGCCGATATTCTACTGAAAGTCGGTTAAAATACAGAGAAAATGACACGCGCGATCCAATTACTTTCGCGATGTTCGCGCTAATATTGGATATTAGCACGATGCGAAGTATAACTCCGCATCGATTTGAAAACGCGATGTCAAAAGAACACTGGAAAGTCGAACGATTTCTCGATCGTCTTCGATTCATCGGTAATGGTCCTTCTTCTCGATTCGACCGAGGCGAAAGCGCGAATTCTTGTAAGAACAATCGCAAAAAACATTTATTAGAAACAAAGAGATAATTTATTGGGATTAAGATGATTTTTACAATCGAAGAAGAGTGCACTCTTTTCTGTCCCCCATAAAAAAGAATAACCGTTTTACCGACGTAATTTCATATACATATCTTTTCTTTTGGAACATCGCCCAATGTTTTCGATAAATGAAATCCAGAATCAAAAAGATGAAAAGAAAATAAAGAAGAAGAAAGAAAAAAGAAAGAAAGATTGAATAGAAAGGAAAAAAGAAAAAGAGACAAAGAGAAGAAAAAAAAGAATAAGACAAAGGAAAAAGGACAAAGTAAAATTTCGGGAAATTTAGGTCTTTTGCGCGAATATTTCAATGTTCTTTTTCAATTTCTTTTTATTTAATATAGGAATAAATTTTTCCAAATTTTTCATTGGAAATTAATATTTAAATTGATCTTTGTCGACTGTTCTCGCGTTTTTTTCCATAAAAAATTAAGACTGAAGATTTAAATTTCGTTATATCGGAAATCCAATATGTTTCAATATATACATAATTAAGAAATATCAAGGCGCTTCTTCATTGGTTGAAAGCAATTTTCCGTTCTTAATTCTTTATATTTAATTCTTTGCTTTTTATTTCCACCTATTAGGTTCGAGTTCTAATATAAGATTTATTTTTTACTCCCGCATCGAGTTGCGCTAAAGAGAATATTTCCTAATACCTTCTATCTCGCTTTTATCATACTTCAAATGTATATATCTATTTCATATTTTTTAAGCGCAACGAATATATGCACACCAACAGATTCGGCTACAAAAGACAGATTAATATTTTTTTTATTCTGCCAACTTTTCTTTTGTTTTTTTTTTTTTTTTTTCCCCTCGTTGTCTTTGTTCCGTCGTTTCTGAGTCCTGGAACAACGAGGTTTGACGTAAATCAGGTAGGAGCTTAGAACGTAGTATCACGGACGATGATGGTGCGTGTGCACGCAGCCAGCACGCGAAGAAACAGCCGTGCAGTCATCGCGATGAGTAAATGTGCGCCACGCCGCGCCGGATCATCGTATAATATAGCGTAATCCACGTAACAACCAGCGGCTATGATCGCGATGATCGCCGTTTGAATCGCGCGAATTCTTTCGGGTCGGCGAGTTAAGTTCCCCATTGTTGCGATGCGCTCTCGTGCGAGCGCCTGAGAGAAAGAGAGACGCGCGTCTGTCGACGATGCTCGCTCGGCGGGATGTTTTTTAGGCTAGAACTGCGTCCAGTGTAGAGCCAGGTAGTAAATATTGTCCTCTTTATCGGGAAACGAGATAGCGTGTATTATATCGTAGTCTTTTTCATTTCTTTTTTTTCTTAATAAGAGTGACTTCGACAGCTTCGGTCAGAGGATTTTCTCTCACATTTTCGATGTTTCCTTATCTGTATTTTTTAAATATAATATTGTTATCTGGTCGTTTTATCGATGATATGTGCGCAAGATATTTGCTATCTTTTTTTTTTTTTTTAATATCAAATCTTCGATCGATTTCTAACTTCTTGCTTCGATAAAGCGAATTTGATATCCTCACGTTGCTACTATATCTTTAACTACTCTGAAAAAGTGAGTATTTGTGTTGTTAAAATTAAGATAAAAACATTACAGAAAATTTGCCAAAAATGTCTGAATCGATTGGAGCATCTCGTGGGGTAACCCGTGCGATGTCACAAGATTCCGAATTTGATGACGCTTTGGAAGTACCTGATTCATTAGAAATAATAGTTAACGAAGATGGTGAGACAATACAAGTTCGTAAAGAAGAAACAGCATGCATAGATAATAGAGGTAAGAATTCTATTGCACATGTCGTATGCATTCCCTGATGACTTTTATTTCTTTTCGATCTCTTGTTATTGTTCATTTTGCTCTATAATTTCCTCAATTATTTCTATATACTTTTGTTATTTTAATTTCTACATTATACAATTTATATACAGTTAATTTACCTTGATACTTTTATTTTTATATAATTTTTACCAATCTTGTCCTCTCCTTTGCATTAGACACTCTTGATGTAATACCTTTCACCGTCATACACAAACCACCAATCAAGTTCAAAAGCCAAACACGCAATGTGTTCATTCCTGGTGAAGAAGTGCATGTAAAAATCATAGATAATGAACGTAGTGTGACCACACATCCCTTAAATCCAAATCTATACACCATAGAATTTAGACACGGACCTTTTATCTGGACTATTAAAAAGCGATACAAACATATTCAGCAACTGCATAATCAATTGAAAATGTATCGTGCTAGTTTGAATATACCTTTCCCTACAAAAAGCCACAAAGAGAGAAGGACTAGCATGAGGAATCTTGGAAATGTGAAAGAGAAAAAGGGCAGACGAAATGCTTTACCAAGGTAATTATATGTTATGATCTATGTAATCACGGTGAAAAAATTAGGAAAAGTACAATCAACTTATCATTTTCACAGGTTCCCTAATAAACCTGACATTCTAGTACCTTATGAAGGGTTAAATCGTAGAAGAAAAGAATTAGAGGATTATTTAAATAATTTGCTCAATATAGAAATTTATAGACGTCATTCAGAAACTGTAAGTATATTAATAATAATTAATTAGCTTAAATGTTACATCATTATTGTTTGTTCACAGATCAATTTTTTGGATATTTCGCATTTGTCTTTTGTGGCAGATTTAGGAATGAAAGGAAAAGAAGGAACAATTTTGAAACGAACTGGATCAAGCGCTAAAGTCAGATGCAATTTTTGTGGTTTGTTTGAACATGGATTTTGCTTCAAGTGCAACTATTTTTGTGCCTCTCTTTGTGGCAAATGGCAAAAGAGACATCTTGTTGTTAAGGAAACCTTTGTTGCATATCTTAATTCTGAAGATGGAAGAATAAAATCTGTTATTTTAATGGATAATGGTTTTGGAATCAGTCTAGGAGTATATACTACAGGTTCACGAAGTGGCATACAGATTTCAAATTTGAGTAGACATATAATTATCAAGTGTTGGACAAAACGAAAAGCTAAGGAATGGATGGAATTTATACAAGAAGTTAGTAATAGAGAAGGTAAGAAATCTTTTTTTAAAATACAATGTATATGTATACAATGTATATGTATAAATACAATATATTTTTTTTCTATATTTAAAATTGTAATACATAGCAAATGTAAGCGGTAAGATTAACAATAAGCAAAATGGTCACTTAAGTTGAGAATTATCAAAAGTAAGATTATCATTTTAAAATTCTTAACTATGATTGATTTGTTTATTGTTATAAGTTTTGCTGCTTATATTTTTTTATGTGCCATTAGCTTTATTGATATAATTTTTGAATAGGCAGAGATTTTATCCAGACAAATCCACATAATTCATTTGCTCCATATCGTACATCCATATCTGCAACTTGGTTTGTGGATGGAGCTGATTATATGTCTGCTGTTGCCGATGCATTGGAAAACGCCAAAGAAGAAATCTTTATCGCAGATTGGTGGCTTTCACCAGAAATTCACATGAAAAGACCAATGTCTGGCGGAGATTATTGGCGATTGGATAAAATTTTACAAAGAAAAGCAGTGAGTAAACAAAATACTTTTATCAAAATGCAAATATAGATTTGAAATTATAATAAATGTACTAACTAATCATGACAAGAAATTACTATTTATGCATGAATATTTTCTCTTTTGCAGAATCAAGGTGTAAAAATATTTGTATTGATATATAAAGAAATTGAAGTCGCTTTAGGCATAAACAGTTATTATAGCAAACAGAGACTTGTGGAGCAATGTCCTGAAAATATCAAAGTATTAAGACATCCTGATCATGCAAGGGCAGGCATATTTCTTTGGGCTCATCACGAGAAGATTATAGTTATTGATCAATCTTTAGCATTTCTTGGTGGCATTGATTTATGTTACGGTAGATGGGACAATAATGAGCACAGATTGACAGATTTAGGTAAATGTCATATAAGTCCTTTTAGCATTAATTTTTTGTATCAACTAATGATATACTGGCCGTAGAATCTATTCATCAATCAAGTATCTATATTCCTTCAAGAGACAAACTAACCAATACCAGTAGTAAAAAGATACTAGGCTGTAATACAGAGAGACACGTGCTATTACCATTAGCAATAGCAACAAATACTATTGCTATGGCGACCACGAGATCTATGCCTTTATTGTAAGTGCTATTTAATTGAAAATATGGAGTAAAAATAAAAACATGAATAGAATTAATCCTATCTATTTTTAAAGACCGATAATGGATGAACAAACACAAAAGGATTTAGTGATGTCAACGTTGTCAACGGATAATTCACTTTTTATGCTGCAAGAAAAGGGAGATGCGGTTAAGTGTAACACTCCTGAAATGCAAAGGAAAAACTTGTTTGAGGTCGCCAAAACAACTGTCGATAAAATGAAAAACACCGTGAAAGTAAAGAGACAAGAATTCATTAATATGGTATATAGTTCTCACGAAGCGAATGCCGATGAGACTGAAGAGTACGAGTCGTTTCTATTCAATATTATTACTGTGATATCTTGACACTATTTTATTTCTTAATTATATTTATTTCTTAACTATATATTTTTTTTCTTAATTTAGTGAAACGCTTGCACTGTCAGAATCCGAAGATTCAGTGGATTATGCTAGTGGATTGTGCCGATTAAGACCTGCAACAAAATTATGGCTTGGAAAAGATTATACAAATTTTATTGTTAAAGATTTTAATGATCTCGAAAAACCATATCAGGATTTGGTAGATAGAACCACTACTCCTAGGATGCCTTGGCATGACATAGGAGTTTTAGTGCAGAACGCTGCTGCTAGGGACGTGGCTAGGCATTTCATACAGCGCTGGAATGCCGTCAAGGTACACAATGCACGTAATAACATATGTATATAAATTCAAATGCACAAGCATAATAATAGGCACTGAGAAACGTGTTGTAGCTAGAAAAAGCAAAGCTGAATTCTTGTTATCCTTACTTATTACCGAAATCGTACAAAGATTGTAAGAGCTACGCACCGTTTATCAAAGAGGCGGACAAGCACAACGTCAAGTGTCAAGTACTACGATCGGTGAGTTCATGGTCGGCTGGTTTTCTTGATCCAGAGACTGTTGAACAAAGTATACAGGAAGCTTACATCCATGCTATTAGTAAAGCAGAAAGGTAAGATTTTCATACATGTATGTACTCCGTAATTTTATATGTAGTATTAATTTTGATAAATTTGTAGATATATATACATAGAAAATCAATTTTTTATAACACTTGCGTCTATGGACAAGGGTAATGTTAAAAATCAAATTGGCGAGACATTATTGAAAAGAATTCTGAGAGCGCACAGAGAAGGCGCAGTGTTTAGGGTATTTGTTGTGATGCCTTTGTTGCCAGGCTTTGAAGGAGAAGTTGGAGGACCGAGTGGGACGGCGTTACGAGCGATAACGCATTGGAATTATAATTCTATATCGAGGTGGGATATCTATTTAAGTTTATGTAAATTGAAAAAATTGACACGTATAGATCTTTTTCCTGTTTGACCAAACATAATAGAGGGAAGGATGCTATTTTAAATCAACTGATAGAAGCAGGCATAGAAGATCCTAGCGAATACATCACATTTCATGGCTTGAGGACTCATTCTATATTAAATGGCACGATAATAACTGAGCTTATTTACGTTCACAGTAAGCTAATGATAATAGACGATAATACAGTTATTTGTGGATCGGCTAATATAAATGACAGAAGTATGGTTGCTACGAGAGACAGCGAAATAGCTGTAATAATTCACGTGAGTATATTTATCGCAATAATTTAAGTTATGTCTACATATTTAATATGGTCAGATCTTAATATATAATTGATCAATTTCTTTTGCGATTACATGTAAAAAAATTAATAATTTTTTTAATAAATATGTAATAAGAGATACAAGTAAAATTAACACGTCAACATTATGAATAATTTTAACATAATTTCATTTTTTTTATGTTAATTAAGTCAATTGATGTTGTAATTATTGCAAAAAATAGGATCAAGAATTTGAGGATGGACGTATGAATGACATACCTTTCCCTTGTGGCAAATTTGCATCTTCCTTGAGAAAACAATTATTCCGCGAACATTTGGGATTACTGAATACTAAAGAAAACATCAACATTGATGACGCTATTATTAAATCATTCTATAAGGACATATGGTGCGCTAGAAGCAAACGGAATACAGAAATATATGAAGAAATATTTCACTGTATTCCTAGCGATAAAGTAGTCAATTTTGCTATATTGAGACAATATCAAGAAAAATTGCCTCTTTCTATATCTAATCCATTATTGGCGCAAGAAATGACGGATAAGGATATAAAGGTAAGTATCAAATCCTTGCATGTATATAAATTCATCGTTTGTTTAAATCAAATGCTTTTCTAGGGTTATTTGGTCGATTTGCCATTAAATTTCTTATGTAATGAGGATTTAAAACCTGCTGTTGGAACAGTGGAAGGAATGATGCCAACTGCGTTATGGACGTAAGTTTGCGCCATGACAAATAAACGTTTTAGAAAATTTTTTTATAATTGAGTTCAAATTAATAATAGATTTCTATTAATTTCTTTTATGCAAATATTCAAGATAATTCGATAATTCATATTTTATTCTTATACAGCTTTTATTATACTAATATTATACTAATTTATTATACTACAAAAAAAAGAACTTTTTTATTTCTGATATATATTGTATAAATGATGTCTGTGTTATTGCTTGATATGACAACGGCTGGTCTGATTTTTTATTGGCCAGTTCATCATATTTAATTTAAGATATTTTAAGAACATAATGTTCACTTTATAAATGCAATAATTCTTAATACCTCAAATAATATTTTTTTTATAAATACAGAATATTATAACAGTATTTTTTGATATAATAACAAAGCTTAATTATATATAATTCTCATCTGATGTTTGTGAAACAAACTAGTTTTATTTTTATTATTTTAAGTATTAATAATCTAAATTATTTTTTAAAAATGTTAGGAACTTAGGAATTTTTTAACAAAAAATCAACAATTATATATTTTTATCTTGTTTATTTTGTTTAAATCTTTAATAGGCGATATTACTTAATAAGTATTGCATCCTTAATATTTAACAATAGTTATCTAACAAAATTTAATTAAAAATGTTATTAATTAATGTTTTAATTATTGATATAATTAGTGATATTTCCCTGTAATAAATAAGTTATATTCATAAAATTTAGAAAAATATTTTAAATTATCTGTATAAAGATGCAAATACTTTAATACAATCTTTTATAAATATAAAAATTATAATCGTTTATATAATTTTTTAATTTTCTATAATTTAATATTCAATATATATCTATAGAGGAGTATGATTTACTCACAAAAAATACAACAAAAAATTGCAGTAAAAGAGAATTGTATAATAAAAGGGTTCTATATAAAATGTAAAAGAAATATAAAGAAATATAAACTTGTTACAGAAAAATACATTACATAACAGTATATATATAAATTATTACAATATATATAATTATTACATTCCATAAAATGGCTATAATATTTAATATATAATAAATTATATGAGAAGAGATATTTATATTATATTTATAATAAATATATAACAAGTTAATATATTATTATATAATAATATTATATTAACTTGTTATATCATGAACTGTGCCTGTTATGAGAAAAAAATATTATTAAGAACGTTTCTGAAAGTTATTGCTAATGAAATATCAATAATAACAATCATGAAATTTTGATATAGTATTAAATAAAATGTAATATAAAATATGCAATTAAAATATGACATAATTGTAATAAAAAATTATATGATGTAATATAAAGTAATGAATCAATATTTTTAAGGCTATTTATGTATGAATTTGTTCAGGAAGCACCACAGTTGTGCAATTGTTGAGTGAGCGTGCAGTTCATTCATATTCATTCATATATTCTAAATCTAACATGGATCTAAAGATTTACTCCAATTACAAGTAATGATTATTCATGCTCACTAAACTGTTGTTCCCTGAACATAATTATATTGTGAAAAAATATTGTTGACATTTGGACACCTATGTGATATATGTGATTGATATTTTTAAAAATCAAT